GGTCTAACTGGTTAGTCAGTCACGTATTTAACTAGCTGTCTCTCTCTTACAGTTGGCGGTCTAACTGGTTAGTTAGTCACGTATTTAACTAGCTGTCTCTCTCTTACAGTTGGCGGTCTAACTGGTTAGTCAGTCGCGTATTTAACTAGCTGTCTCTCTCTTACAGTTGGTGGTCTAACTGGTTGATTCCCGTTATGGTAGCGGGCATCGTCACGCTGGTGTACCGCATCTATAGCAGCGAGTGACATCATCAGTCATGCAGCTGTGACGTCATCATTGGGCACTGCAGCCAATTACCTCAGCTTCGGATTGACAGCTGCACCAGCCAATGGCAGCGCAGACTGGCTGCTGCAGACCAACAACCATCCAATCGCTGTTCTGGGATCACTCTCTCTACGCTGGCCCTCTCCTGTCGCAGCACTACAATTCCCAAGATTCATTTCATGCTCTTTAACCAACTAATCACATGGCATTTTGTTAATGAAGACATTTTTAATATGTATGTTTTATAAAATCTTTATGATATGAAATCTTGTAGAAACACAGTGGATGTATAATTTGTTGCATGTTTTTATATCTTTGTAACTGGATGTAAATGAGTTCATAATCAGCAGCTAACAGAGCGCCAAGATGTCACTACAGTCATGTGACTGACTGTCTTGAAGGAAATGTATGAAGTTTTTAACCACCTGGGTGTTGGTATAAACGTACAGGTGTGTTTGGATTCATATATCTTTTAACATTCTTTCCCAAATTCCCGCTTTTGATCGTTTGGTTATTCAAAATGTCTCAACTTTCTTTATCTCTGCAGTGAATCTGTTGGCAGCAGAGGCACCAGATTATCTTTTTATTAATGAAAATGACTTGTAAATCGATCATCTGGTCACTCTGTCGCCTGTGTGACGCTTTGAGCAACCATTAACTGAGCTGCATTTACATCTGAAGTCAGACTTTCCTGACCTTTTCTGACCTGTGATCACCTGCTGGGACTCCGGGTCGTGAGCTGTTCAACGAGAGGGGAGCGTCTTTTTATAAGCCTGAAGTGGTCAAATGTTCCAGTAATTAACAAGGTTAAAAGAAAAGTGCACATTAGCCATCATGTCATTAATGATCTCTTGACTCCATTATTGACTCCTGAAGTTACACAAAACTTTTGTTTCAAGAGAATTTATGTGAAAGTCGAGGTACAGTTTATTAGGAAAGCCCCGATCTGACTTTTTGAGTCCCGATACCAAGACCTGGGCTTTGGGTATCCACCGATGGTGAGTATTATAGTACTATTTCCAGTATAAAATTAATAATGTATTGGGAATCATGTTCTTTAACGTGAAGCTTCTGGAGGTGCTTAATTAAGTTGCTTGTGTTTTATTTTGTAGAGCTACCACCACCTCTTGAAACATTGGCTTTGCAGACTTGTTGGTGTAGCAAGCGTGAAATACCTCCAAACTACTGACCCCCTCTTTTTATCTTCCTCCATAATTGAATTGAATAGATCACCCTCTTTGTCACTGATACCCAATCCAGCTATTTCAGTATTCAGTATCGGGCCAATATATTATATTACATTTACATTCTTTCATTTAACCAAAGCAACTTACACATTGCTTTCTCACAGTGCATTCAAACCCGGGTCTCTCACACCAAAGGCATGGGTCTTATCCACTGCACCATCACCACCCCATGTTGGTATCAGATCGGTGCATCCCTATATCATTCTCGTACTCAGTTGTTGTAGTTGTAATGGGCACAATAAAAACAGAACAACAGAAGAGGTGCAAAATATTAAAAAAAAGATAATAAAGTACTGGAACTAGCCGTGCGTGTTAAAAAAGGCACGATGATTGCTGCCAAATCCTGTGGATGAACATTTAAACGTGTATTTTGAACCTGCTTCTAAATAGTTAATGAAATGATCTTGAAACAAAAGTTATGTTGAACCCAGAAAACTAAAAGTTGTACCAGTTTTAACCTTCATGTCGAGATCAAACCTGGCAGCTGTTTCTCTCGGAGCTGCAGGTAAACCGGTAGATGCGGCCAGTTAGTTTGGGATTCTGCACCCTGATGATGCTTTCTCACCTGTTCACCTGTCAGAGCTGCACATTCCTAAATAAATCTGCGTTTCACAGAATCACCACAAACAGCAACTGTCTCGTCACGTGGTCTGATCAGGGCCTGTTCAGATAGTGATTGATATCACACAAGCTTCTGTAGCAGGTGAGGTTGCTCAGGTAGCATGGTGCATCTCTAAAACAGAATGTGGTGGAAAAGTTCACTGCGAGCAGCAGAACCAGCCTGAGAGATGAACGGCTCGGGAAACCTTTTGCAGGTGTTTGACTTTATAAGCTGATTAAAGCTCTTCTCAGGTCGGCGTTTCTGTATTATAAAGTCTTTTATTCTAAAAGTCTAATAGTTTTCAGATACTGGAGTTTTGATTTCAGTGAGCTGTAATCATCAAGATTAAAACAAAAACAAGGGTTGAAATATGTCACTTTGTGTTTAATGAATCTAGAATATGTGAGAGTTTCATGAAAGAAAATAAACTTTTCCACCATATTCTTATTTTTTGAGATGCACCTGAAGGAAAAGTTATTGTTTGACCTTGGAAACTGCAGTAGATCAGGTCCCAAAGGCCAGCTGTGAGTTCACTTTCAAGAAACAGACCTGCAGAAAAACAGGATGTCTGAACGCCGCAGTAGTGAAAGTGAACAGCAGCTGAAAGACTTCACAGTGATTCTGCTCATAATCAATGAAAACATGTTATCAGGAAAACGCCCCGTTTGTCTTGATCCAACGTTCAAACGTGGCTGCAGTTTAACCAAAAGATGTCTCTGTGTTGAGCTGCTCCCTGGAGAACCAAAACCCTGCTAAGCTCTGCTGATCCAGAATCAATTAATAGGACTGCTTATTGATTCACACTGAAAGACAACATGTGAACCAACTTAGAGTTCGGCATGGGCCTGAAACCCAGACCAAGACCATCAGACTGGTGCTGCCAGATTTTAAGATCCAAACCCGACCTGAGACCCAAAGTCATGACTCGTTCATGACTGACCGTTACTGCTAAACACTGGCTACATGCTGTTTCTCTCCTCCCACTGGGGGACTGTGTGTCTGTAGTTTTTTAAATATTTGAAAATAACTTCACCTGAAACCAGTGTCGAAGCTTTATGCATCAAAGAGGCCCGAACCGGAACCAAAACCCAGGAACTCCTAAGAAACTGCTCCAAAAGTGCCACTTAACTTTAGCTTCTTTCAGCAGATTGCAGAGTTGTGGATTTCTTTTAATGTGTGTTAGGTTCATGAAGTCCACCAAAATAAAATCACACTCTGACTGGATCCTACTGAGAAAAGACTCCAGAGATGAATTACTCAACATATGACTTCCTCTATGAAAAAGACTGTCGTGTTTTTGACTCCTAAACCTCACCTTTTAATCCAAAATGAGGGAACATTGAGTAGAGTTTTATTTTGAAATGTCACTGAAGGTGTGTTACTGTGTTGACTCTGTGAGAAACTGTGCTGGAGGTTATCAGCTTTATCAGAAGAAACACAAAGTCTGCAGCTCCGTCAGACTCACGGTGAATATGAAGATCAGGCTGCAGCCACGAATCCAGACTTTCAGCGGTTTAACGAGCCGGCAGAGCGTTTCCAAAAACATAAAGATGCTCCACAACAATAGAAATGTGGAGAAAGGAAAGGAGTAAAATTAAAGTATATGCCGTCTGATTCATTCATAAAAGTTAAATTACCTTTTATTGTTTCCAGATTCTATTCTAAAACTTGTGTTACTTTAAGTCTTTGTTCCTGCTGCTTTAAACCTGTGTTTTTAGGTTGGTTAAATATTTTCTTAATGTGTGTGTGCAGTCTGAATTCTCACTGATGCAGCTGAAGGCCAGAAACCAGAGAGGTGCTGCCCTCTAGTGCTCAAAAGTCGCCACCACCAATGTTTTTGAAAACTGGACACCGGTTACTGGTTTTGAGTGAAAAACAAATATGAGATATTTATTTGTTTTAGAATCTTCATAAATTCATGTAGAGATTTTAAATGGTCTCAGCAGTGGGGGGAAAAAAGATAACAAACAACATAACCACCGTTCAAAAACAAGAAGAATTAAATGATTTATCATCAACACTGCAGTTAATCAGTGTGCAAAAGTCACGTTAAATCATTTTCTCTGCTGTTAAATGTCTCCGTAGTTTATTTAATCTACTGGACGTGTTTTTAGTTCTAGTTGAATGTTCACACAGCTCTGAACCAGTGGTGTAGTCTACTTTTTTGTAGTGAATATACTGTGTTTTTTCCCGAGCGAGCAACCCGCCCCAGAGCGACCCGTCCCAGAGCGAGCGACCCGTCTCAGAGCGAACCGTCCCAGAGCGACTAGCCCCTCAGAGCGAGCGACCCGTCACAGAGCGAACCGTCCCAGAACGAGCGACCCGTTCCAGAGCGACCCCTCCCAGAGCGACCCCTCCCAGAGCGACCCGTCTCAGAGCGAACCGCCCCAGAACGAGCGACCCGTTCCAGAGCGAGCAACCCCTCCCAGAGCGACCCGTCTCAGAGCGAACCGTCCCAGAGCGACCCATCAGAGCGAGCGACCCGTCCCAGAGCGACCCGTCCCAGAGCGACCCGTCACAGAGCGACTCGTCCCAGAGCAACCCATCACAGAGCGACTCGTCCCAGAGCGACCTGTCCCAGAGCGACCTGTCCCAGAGCGACCTGTCCCAGAGCGACTCGTCCCAGAGCGACTCGTCCAAGAGCGACCCCTCACAGAGCGACTCGTCCCAGAGCGACCTGTCCCAGAGCGACCTGTCCCAGAGCGACTCGTCCCAGAGCGACCCATCACAGAGCGACTCGTCCCAGAGCAACCTGTCCCAGAGCGACCTGCCCCAGAGCGACTCGTCCCAGAGCGACTCGTCCAAGAGCGACCCCTCACAGAGCGACTCGTCCCAGAGCGACCCATCAGAGCGAGCGACCCGTCCCAGAGCGACCCGTCCCAGAGCGACCCATCACAGAGCAACTCGTCCCAGAGCGACCCATCACAGAGCGACCTGTCCCAGAGCGACCTGTCCCAGAGCGACTCGTCCAAGAGCGACCCCTCACAGAGCGACTCGTCCCAGAGCGACCTGTCCCAGAGAGACCCGTCCCAGAGCGACCCGTCACAGAGCGACCCGTCACAGAGCGACCCGTCTCAGAGCGACCCGTCCCAGAGCGACCCATCCACAGAGTGAGCGACCCGTCACAGAGCGACTCGTCCCAGAGCGACCCGTCCCAGAGCGACCCGTCACAGAGCAACTCGTCCTAGAGCGACATGTCCCAGAGCGAACCTGCCTTACTGTCACTTATCAGTGACAGTGTTTAGTTGCAGTCAGTAGATGCGGCAGAAATACAGTGATCACAATGCTGACTAGTAAACTGAATCTGGTTTTCAAAAAATGAAAGACAAAGGAAAGGACATCAATCTGTACCTTTCTGTAAGAAAGGTGGCCGGCCTTTAGTCTGTGAGTGGTGTTAACCTGTTGGCTTAAGGTCCACAGTGAAGCGAGCTGCAGACTAGTGTTAGCCTACATTTCATCAACATTTAATCAGTGCAGGGAAACTTTTAGCAAGATATTAATTTTAAATCATTGTCCCTGCCCCTTTTAGCAGACTAACAGATGAGTCTGCAGCAGCCCAGTCTGCCCATTACTGCAGCCTCCCTGTCCCAGTGAAGAAGGTGAGCAGCACTGTGTTAATGAGTTAGCATCATGTCAGGGAGTCTGTGGGGATTCCTCTGTCTCTCTTGCTCTTTTTACCATAACAAAATAGAAAATTAAATATTTCTAAATCACAGAAACTCAAACACAAATTATTTTCTCACATAATGATCATTATGAAATGAATAAAATTAAAAAACACCTTCCTGTCTGTCCCGGATGCTGGACAGCAGCTTACCTCAGCCTGCATGTAAGTTACAGACTATATTAAAATAATCCAGTTTGATGCGTTTATTTAGATCGAATTATGGCCGTTAAATGACATCTATAGATACAGACTTTATTATTCCCATCATGAAGGGCAATTTATTTGAGAAGCAAATAGTGAACTGCATCCTGTATGCAGACTTGTACAAATCACCAGCAGTAAATTTTGTGCTAGTATTGAACTGCAAGAAGCCAGACACTTTAATTAGAGGGATGTAAAGCTTTTGATGAGAAAGTTAAGTCTTAGAGAAGTAGTGGCAGCTCTGGGCAGAGGGGGTCCAATTTGGGGTTTTTTGTCATGGGGCCCGAAAATTCCTGGTGGCCCCCCTCATACCAACCATGCTGTTACAGCTCCGTTAATGATGACGTCTCTGTTGCTTTCACTCACCAGGTAACGTTGTGACAGCATCAGCCCCATCTGGCTCGTCTCCTGTACCTTCAGTAACCTTTAACCTTCTGCTGCAGCCTTACCTAAACACTGTGAGTGAAGTTTGAGTTTGCTCTTGTTTCACATTAGTTCATTTCAAACCTGCGCAGACTGACCGCCACGCAGCCGTGTTGTTGTTTGCTGGGTGACGTCAGCTCCCGGTCACAGGCCACGGACGCCGCAAACGTCAGCTCAGAGCTGCGCAGCACAGACGGGGTGAATTTCTGAATGAACGTGTGAAAGTTCTGTCACAAAACGACGCTGTTACGCATCATCTCGCTGTTTTCAGTGGGTGTAGAGAAATCTGTGCTCCCTCTGCTCTGAACTCTCTGAACTCGCCCGTTTGTTCTTTAGGTTAGAAACCTTTCTGTTATTGATTTTAGAGGCGTCCATGTTTCCAGCAGCGCAGGAGGAAGTATGTCGCTCATCACTGATGTACAGCAGGATGTAGTTGTTGATCTGATGATTGTTTTCATTCCGGATCAATCAGCTGATTGTTTCCTCCATTAATCGGTTGATTGTTTGGTTCGTCACAGTTACTTATTAGTTACTAATTTAATCTGCAAATACTTTGATGATCGTTGAAGTTGTTTTTTTTAATGTAAAAACATTTCATGTGAAGATTTGCTGCTTTTCTTTTTGGTTATTTTAATGGATTTATAATCATTTTCAGGGTTAAACTGACTGAAAAAGCATCGTGAAGGCGTCGCTTTGGGCAATTGTGACAACATTTTCACTATTTTCAGAGTTTTTACAATCGATCAGTGGAGAAAATAATCATTACCGGAATTAAACAGTAAAATCCTTCTTTTAGATGAAGTGATAATGTTTAACAGTCACACGGGATGTTTTTCATTCTGCATTGAGTATAAGTAACTTTTTCAATGCAGTACTTTTATGACGTAGTCTTTTTACAGTGTGGTATTAGTACTTTGTCAAAAACCTTGACATAAATGACCCGAATGCGAACAAGCTGCAGCAATGGTACTTTTATTTACAATAAGTAAAACATGTAATTAACATAACACACAGTGGGGTGTAGTGAATCAGTAACATCAGCGTGTGTACACGATGAAATGAGCAGTGAGATGTAAGACGGAAAGCGAAAAGGAAAAACTCTCTCCCACAATGCCGCTGGTGCGTTTACTGCAGTAAAGGATCTGAATACTTCGTCCACCATTATTATTAACAAACATTTGTTTTATTCATATTTTAGTACTGTTATAATGGAGCATGGTGAATTTTTAGCTTTTTTGTTTTACTTGTTATTTCTCTATTTATTTATTTATTGTAACAAATCAAATTTCCTGTGAAGGATCAAGGTTGTTTATTGGTCCTCATACAGCACAAGGCTGCACAGAGAAACGAAATCTGTAGTTCCTTCATGCTACAAACACAACATATAACTAAGTGTAGGCTTATATTAAAATATGGTAACATATAAAGTAAAATAAAACAATATATACAGTTATTTATACACATACACACCCAGAACACATGTGTCTGTGGGGTGAATGTAAACAGCAGCAACCAGATGATGACTTCATCTTCACAATAAACATAGATGCATATATGGACTCCATCAAACATTCAAAAAACTGCAAAGCTCACAGGAACTAAACTCAACACTTATGACCTCGTGGAAGTGACTGATGTTGCAACTCAAGAACTGAAGCTGGTGCTTTAACCTGGACTTTTTCATTGAAATTATCTTCCCTGGACAATGAAACGCTTTATGTCTTTATATGTTGTGTGTATCCTGACGTTCTCAATAAAGTCAATAAAAAAAGAGCATGACGTGTGTTTGTTTACTGGCCGCCTGTGACGCACTGGTTGGAGCCACGTTCACGTTATGTAACAACGTGAACGTGTGTGACGTGATTCTTAGAAACTGCCTTTCACAGCAGCATAACTTTATTTATACGCCCTGTAGAGACAAACGGGTAAATATTTATTTATTTTGACGCTGATTTGCAGACTTTAATGGAAATGAGTTCAAACCACTTTACATGTAAATAGACTATTTTATTTCTTACATTTTCTTTGTGGTAATGTTTATCAAACAATATTTATTTGACCTCCATCACTGTTTTGCATGAGAATCACTAAAGATAAGTACAGGTTTATTGTTTGTGTAATTTCCTGAAGGTGGAGAGAAAGATGTGTGTGTTATCAGCTGGTACTCTGTGCTTCAACAGGATTTTCAATGCGTGCTTGTTAATGAGCGTCACATTGGAACTTTATTTAAACACACATTAATGTTGTTGTTGTTGTTGTAAAGTTATTTGATGCTCCGCTGCACGCAAACAGGTGAAAGTTGATGCTTCGTGACGGTGCGCGTGCTTCTGCCAGCAGCTGCAGAGTGACTCTGCACGCGCTCTGTTGTCACCACGTTGTCCTCTGGAGGGGGCGGGGGTCTCTACTCTACTATAGAAGCTGCCCCGCACCGGGACTCCCGCGGACTGCGGACCGGCCTGCAGCGACAGCCTCCCGGGCAGAGATGTCCCGCTCACCTCTCCAGCTCCAGTCCGGGGCAGAGTGGCCCTCCTCGGAGCAGGCCATGGAGAACGGCCACGAGGAGGAGGAGGAGGAGGGCGATCTGGACGACGAGGTGGACGCTTCTCATCTGGAGAGATTCATGAAAGACAGGAGGAGAGCCAGGTCCCTGCCCGCCTACCCGGCGGCGCTCCTGGACCGCGTCTCTGGGAGTATCGAGAGGAAGCGGGTGAAGTTCGCAGACTCCATGGGGCTGAACCTGGCCAGCGTCAAGCACTTCAGCTCGCTGGAGGAGCCGCAGATCCCCAGTAAAGTCCTGTCCAGGCACAAGAGCTTCCCGCCGCAGCAGCAGGACTTGCTGAACGACCTGTGCCAGAGCTTCAAGTCCAGTCTGGACACGGACCGGCTGGTCGCCTGCTTCCCGGAGAACCGTGAGGTGGAGCGGAGAGTCCAGCACCTCCGCGTCTGCCTGGAGAAGGTCGCCATCACCCAGTTTGACTTGCGGGGGCAGATCCGGGTCTTCACCAGCTGCACCGACAAAGAGGTCGGAGTGAGGTACACCTTCAACGACTGGCTCTCCTACGTGGACGCGCAGGCTCTGCCGGTGGCCGCGGACCAGCCGGGCTTTGTGGGAGAGCGGTTCAGCTTCACCGTGTACACGCCGCCCTTCATGGACCCCAGCTCGGCCGTGCACATGGCCGTGTACCTGAAGAGTGAGGAGGGGGAGTTCTGGGACAACAACGAGGAGCAGAACTACACCCTCAGGTACCACTGCATGCCCAGCACCACAACCTTTGTCAGCGCCGCTTTCCACGCCACCTGACCGGCGCGTGTGTCGTGCGTAAAACCTACAGATCTGCGCGTTAAAGCTTTCCACCAGTCCCGTCTGCTGAAAGAAATGCTTTGATATGCAGCTGCGGAATATTCTGTTATGTGCTGAGTCTTCTTGAGACAAGGGTTTCTGAACTTCCACTTGGATCGATGGACTTTGTCTCTCTGAGGAAACAGAAGCCCCGGACTTTAACTTCAACAACCTTCTGGATGTTTTGGACCTGTTGACAGCCACAAGTGTCTCTGCCTCACTGCTGCTCCTGGATTCTGCACTTTCCTCAGTCCACACACCTAAAAACAGATGTTCAGCTCTATAATTAAGGACAATAAACAAACACAAAGCCTCGCAGGCCTTAATCACTGGGACAAAACCTCATGTAAATGTCCATGGTGCTCAAATTAAAGGCTGCACCGGGGGAGCTGCTTGTCGAGGTAATTCCCGGGCTGTTTATCTGGCTTTGTAAAGCCCTGTCAGCGGAAATGATCACAATGAAAGCGCTTTTTATTTGCAAATGATCGTGTTTGCCAATCGTTAGTCTAATCTGACATTTCTGTTACCAATTTTAAAATGCAGATTTCAGTCAAAGACCTTTAGAGTGATTCTTACTACACATTCGTTTTATTCCCTTACGGTTTAAAAAAAGTCAGTTTGCAGACTCCTCTTGTAGGCTAATCCATGGCACTGATCATCATTCTGATCAATGTGACATTATTGTTGCTTTTTAATGCAGCTTGAGTGCAGGTTGTTGTGAAAAACGCTGCACTGCCTCATGTTCACATTACACAACTTTCAAGACTCATTTTTATCCTCTAAGGAAGTATAAACAGGGAAGCAGTGGCTCCCTGAACTGCAGATAAAGCACATTAAAATGAATAAAATGCAGCTGTGTAGTCTGTAAATTGATATCTATGATGTTTGTTGGATGTACTTTAAATAGATTTTGCTAAAATATGCAAAACAACCAGTATGGACCTTTAAATTTAGCCAAAAAAACCTTTTAATTCAGCCTGTCAGCTGATTTTCTTTAAGGTGTTCCAACATCTGGTTGTTCAGATAAATCCTTTGATGTCTCATGATGCTGAAACATACCCTGCAGCCAAAAACAGAATAAAAAAAAAAACGCCTGGGGGAAATTAACTGTTCATTCATTTTGGAAAGATTCTGCAGTTATTTCAACAAAGAGATTTTAGAAAGAATTGTGCTGAGTGGAAGATTTTGTCAAAGTGATCTTGTTCAATAAAAGCTGATTTCAAACCAAGACATGGATTTGCAGTGGTGTTGAATTTTGCATTTTGATATGTGAAAGATTTACTTTCTACTCTTCCTCTTTGCCATCTGACAGGTGGAATCACCACTTTACAGATTCATGTTTCATATTTAACATGAGAAAAGATCATAAACCCTGAAGTCTCGGATGTTTCTGGTTTTGATTATTGATGCATTAAGACAGGGACTGTTCATCACAATGTTTACTTTGGATACTTGGGTACATTTTACTGCTGACACTTAACAATACAAGACTCACATCCTCGCTACATGTCAGGCAGACATAAAACAACAACTTTACTGACCTCTTTAGCTCCAGCACACAGGTTTACAGAACAATCCTTCACTGAAGTTCCCGGAAACAGATGTGAGGACGTTTGATCCACGGGCTCAGACGGTTCAGTTCTGCGGTGGAACGCCGGCCCGCTCATGAAACACAAGAAACAGACACAGTCTTCTCTTTGTGAAACAGGACGCGGGAGGAAGTGGGTGACTGAAGACGCACAGCAGACAAGATTCAACCACAACCAGGTCCAAGGTTTCAGGTCTGACTCCAGGTCTGTTCCTTTACATTAAATTACATTTAGCCGACGCTTTTATCCAAAGAGACTTACAGTTGCTCTACATGTCAGAGGTCGCACGCCTCTGGAGCAACGAGGGGTTAAGTGTCTTGCTCAGGGACACAATGGTGGACGTCCCAATGAGGAATTGAACCCGGGTATCTCACACCAAACCACTGTTCCATCCCACTCCTGTGCCTGGGATGCTCAAATCTTCCAGCAAAGTACGTCATACATCATATAAATCATCTTAAAGGTCCCATATTCTGCTCATTTGAATTTTGGGTTTCTACTAGAAAATATTTTATGGTGCTTTATTGTTTAATCCCGTCCACTGCTCCTCTTTCACCTTCTTCACCACCTCTTTTTTAGCTATTGTCTCTTTAAGTCCCCCCCTTCCCTGAAAGCCCACTTTATTCTGATTGGCCAACATCTGGAAGCTTCCTGAGGGGCAGGAAGTAGCTGGCAAAGCTCGGCATCGATGTGGAGATCAGGCTATGTGAGACTGCACCTCACTGATTACTGTGAAAAAAAAAACAATACAGAACTTTATTCTCTGGTTTTGGTGAAACTGGATCAGAGGTTAGTTGAGCTGGAGGGTTTCCAGTATGTCTCGCAGAAAGTGCTTTTATTGTTATGAAGGTAAATATTTTCCCTCTGATGTCTTTCAGCTGCTCTGCCTCAAGTTTTGGTGATTTTGTTTGTTACTTTAGCCGCTAACTACTGCTAACAATAGCTAGTTAGCTCGGTTAGCTGTGCAGCTAGCCGTCCTATTAGCGGACTGTGCACGGACGGGAAGCTTGGCGTGTTGGTGTTTACACCTCCAGCGTTAGTACAGAAGCTCTGGACCGCTGCATTAGGCGGAGCCAGATGATGACGGTAGTTAGCGGTTAGCGGTGTATTTATTTGGCGGGGCCAACTACTGCACTGAAGCGCTGGAGGAGGTCCTATCCTCCAAACAGCGTGTTTACACTCACGTTTACTGAAAGACTGAACAGGGGCAAAAGAGAGAGGATGTTTTTTAGACAAGATTGAAAAGACAAGTGGATTTTGTGTAATCCTGGTCCATTAAAACAGAAACTGTGTTTAACACAAACAGTAACAGCACAGGTTGAGGTTTACTCTGCTTTCCTGTATAATCTAAAAACAACATAGGCTAACTGTAGCCTCAGTAGCGCCCTCGTGTTTTAATTACACACCAGAAAGCTAAACTGCTGGATGGACGACAACTCTTTGTTGAGATTTTATCACCAGGTGGGGGTAAAATGTAGCGTTTGTTCTGAGGGCGGCGCCAGAGGAAAGGTCATGTTCCCTGAATCCAAAGGGTTTATCCTCTGTACGGTGGCCATTTTGGGACAGACTCAGACTCTACCTTGTCAGATTGAATCGACTTTAATCAGGCTAAAATGGAGGACATGCGGTTATAATTATAATATATAATAATAATTAGGGCAGCCCCCGACTAAAGTTAAACATTTTAACACCAGACAAATTCTCTGTTTTTTTCACAAATCGCACCCTGCTGATCATACTACCCATATTAGTGTTAGCATGTTGCCAGTAGCAAACGCTACCATGTTAGCATGCTAATGCAATGGTTAGCGGAACATGCTAATGATCACAAAAAAAAATTAGTAAGCTATTAGATTAGATCAGTGTGTGAATTTTAAGGCGTATCCTGATCCATTTAGATTAAAAGACTTGTCTCAGGCTCGTCCACACGGGTCGACCTTCTGCTACGTTTGCTCCTCCCGTCCAGACTAAAACGGAGAAAACAAAGACCTAAAACGCTGCAGACCCCGTTTTTCATTTTGAAACTCCAGGTAGCGTTTTAGGGAAAACGGGCAAAAACGGAGGACTTTAGAAACAATGACGCAGACGCTCGGCTCTCTGATTGGGTCTCATAAGTCATGCAAAGCAGAAACACGATGCTGCAAACATGAGTTTTTTATTTGGTATTTTTATTGAAATATTTTGTACCGCGCAAACAACACTTACAGCCTACATATGTACTGTGCATGTCGCCGTCTTTAGTAGTCCCAGCTCGTTATTGGTCCATGCAAAATAAAATCCGGTGCGGTTCTTTGAATGTCTTTATTCTTTCGCCAAATCTTCTACGGAACAGACCATCTGCTTCATGTGTGCACATGAAGCAGATGGTCTGTTGTGGACGCGGCCGTCTTCCTCTGTTCACAGTTCTACTGAGAAAAATATCGCACGATAAGGAGGATCAGGTTTGATCGGTGTGAGAGATGAGAAATCCAAAAAAAAAGAAAAAACAAAGGCGATGAGAAGCCTGATGACCTGTTTTTTTATTTTATTTACCATTTATTTATTTAATTAATATTTTACACTGCAGTGTAGCTTTTACTGTCCCCGTTATTCAGGGTTAAATTTTTCTAGAATCAGATATTTCTTGCTTCTTAAACTCAACTCCTCCATCATAAGCAGTCGGACAAATTCTTAACAGGGCCGAGCAGAATCTCCAGTGAAGCTCTCCGCTGGTCGTGGTGTTCTCGTGCAGGCCGCTGCTGTTTCGACCGCGAATAAGAGGAAGTCTCGTACGAGAGATGGGAAATCAACAAACAATAGAGGGTGAGAAGCCTGATTATTCGGAACCAATCAGAGTTTTGGATGAAGCTTTTTAAATTGCCTTGTTGTTGAAATATGCCGTCCAAACAAACCTGCCTTGCAGCCATAACACACAGTTCTCTTACATTTTCTGCAGTGTGCGTTTGCGTTTGCTAATTTACAGCGGACCAGGATACCAGCCAACATTATTCTGTACGTGAGATCCTCCAGGTCTGTCCTCCTGTCTGTCTCTGTCAGTCATCTTTACACGAGGGCCAAAGTTCAGGAGTCCGACGCCTCTGAAAATAGTCCTGTTGACAAACCTGATGACATCTGTTTGATCGGTCAACACTGACAGAGATTCAAAGGGATATTTCAGGTAGAAAGTGGAGCGGCGCGCCACGGCCGTCTCATGATCACTCAGAAACAACCTCAGAGACACATGATCACCTCTTAAAATATGTTTTTGTGATCGCTGATGCAAACAGTTTGGCATGACAGATGGCTGTAAATACAACAATACCCACGAGGCTTGGCTGCGTGCTTCAGGAGAAGAAGCCAGTCAGAGAGCCAAAACCCTGATGTCTCAATTGTTGAGCAGCACGGCGGCTCAGTGATTAGCGCCGACGCCTCTCAGGGTCTTTCTGTGGGGAGTTTGTATGTTAGGTTAATCCTCCCGCAGCGCCCCCTGACCGCCGGCTCTATGCCTGACCTCCAACTAGAAAAAGTACCATGAACGACACTTGAAGTAAAATATCTCAGAAGGAGCTGAAAGACGTCCGATAACAACGGCAGCTCCACAGGAAGCACACAGTGGAAACAGTGAACCATCAACTGGAAGACGACATGAAGTAGAGCTGGCCGATAAAAACAAGTCATGTCATTCGGTATCGATAATTATCAGGATTCTTTCCAGTTTAAAGGCTTTAAAGTTTGGCTCCTGAGTGAAAGTTGAATAAACCAGATGGTTAATTTTAAAGTTTTCTTTTACGGTCAGCAAGGGCGTCGCTTCGTGTTGAAAAGTGGTCAAGGACATAGGGGCTGAGATTAGGGGTGTGAAGAGCTGGCGAGACATCACCATCCGCGATATTAGGTTCACGAGAATGAGACGAAAAGATCTCCTCAATGCCAAGATATCTGAGCGGGGTGTTACTACTTGGGGTGACAACACTGACCCAAACCTGACTCAGATAAACGCCTTTAAAACAACCAAATCAGTGGAATTTATTAACATAACAAAACAATAAATCAAGAACCCCAAAAACACAAAAATCCCCAGCTCAGAGGCTGCAAGACCAGCAGTCCCAGATCAAAAAGCCTCTCTTCTGAAGCTTGGACAGGAGCTCTTAAAGACCGCCTTCCGAGGCCAGGCGGACCCCGTTCAGCAATTAGCTGGAGCAGAACTACAGGACACCGCACAGGGAGTCTGGGAGGACCTCCCCCAGGAAACTTTGATCTTTAAACACTTCATGTCCTGCATTCTGGTGACCGTTTCTGCACCAATTTATGGTGGAACTGTTTTTATTTATGTAAAAGGAAAAACAAAATTCAGGTATTTCAAAATATATGTTTTTTTTCATCAAATCATGCTTTAAAAAAGTGGCGGGGACATGTCCAGCGTCCCCAGCGTCAATGACAACTATGATGGACAGAACAAACAGTGGATTGCTTCACAAAACTGAGGCACAACATTCACACCTATTATGATAAACTGATGTAGAAATATGTCCCCAATGTTATCAGGTAGCTGAAGGAGGCAGACACTCCTAATAACGATCTGAGCCCGTCAGCGGCAAAAACATGCACTTTAGTGGACGTTCTTTGACGTTGCAGCCCTGTTTCACTGCTGCAGGTTGAAAAATCTACAAGTTCCCCTTTAAGCTGAGACTGTAACAAAGCACGCTGCAGAATTTGAAGCTCTGTGATTGGGTGTTTCATGCTGAAAAGCAGCTTGCGAGCGGCTTCTTGTGCCTTTAACTTCTTAGTAAAAGTACTGATTCCACTGATCATTCACCTGGATTTCATGTCCATCCAAACCCTGCAAAGCTTCACTGTCACTGAATGAACGGGTCTGAAACGCGGTGGCACATTTGGTACAGTGGTACAGTGCCGAATTTCATTTTAATCCCCCCATGATTCGCAGGTATTTCACTCTAGGCCAACACTTCCTGGCTTGGCTTACAAGCAGCAACCCTGACCCAGAAGCAGAAATCAGCATCAAGTCTGAAGTCCTTCTAGTGAATGTAGGACTCGTGCGGAGCACGTGCACGAGGCATCCTCTCCGTGTGTTCCTCTGATGAAACAGCGATCACTGATTGAGCAACCTGATCTCTCACACCCGTGTTTGTCCCAGTCTTTGTGTGTAACCGGGCCGGCGGGCTTAAACCAACAGATGGGTCTATTAATAGCAGCCGCTGGTACCTTGTTGGTCAGTCACCTCCTTCACCTTCACCCTCCTCCACCAAAACCAAACGCACCCCTGAGCTCACGAGCATCACGCACTTTAGCACTGTAAGAAAAGATACTACATATCTGCTCAATAAAAATGAGGCAACAGCTTACAAGCAATATTATTAATTGTTTGGTATCGAGTAAATATTAATTAACCCTTTATAGTTATAAATTTAATATGAGTATTTAATATGAGTAGATTCAAATAGAAAACAGTACTGAATTAATTACCACCTAAACAAAAATACTGAGTTGATTTGAAATAGATAAACTCCCTAATGTGTAAACAGCACTAATAAATCTAAATTTAATTATATAGATCAATGATATATAATTGAGTAGGGGAGCGCGGGGTATGTCGTCACACTTTTCACACTAACATTTACTGAGCACCGTACATCACAATGGTACAAATGTTTTGTATTCATTACATCTTCATATCTTATCTCATTATGGAGCTGTAGAGAGTGAACAGAGAGAATGCACATGTGACAATTTCCCCCATCGGCAGGTAAGTTGTCACGCTGGGTTAGAACAGTTAGAAACTTATGAATATTGATTTCAAATTGTAACCAGAACTAAAAATATAATCAATCAACAATCAAGCCCAGAGAATTTGGAAAGTAAATAATTTAAATCAAAACACAAATGTTGGCAGAGCTCACATTAAGTGGGACAGCGTCTTTCTTTGAACTTTAAAACCAAACGTTCTCTGGAGTGCAAATAGATCTGTGGTAACAGAATGTAATGCTGCAGATTTAAACTTTATTAAATGTGTAACTTCTTAACTAAACAGATGGGATGTTTAAACACATTAATTCAATGCATTTCTGTACAACGTACATCTGTATCAGACTGATCAGACATGTGTTTAGAGTCACAGTTCTGGCAGACATAAATTGCCTGGCCTGAGGTGTGAGCATGTTTTTCTTTTTTTCCACACACTTAAACGTCTTCTTTGGAATACTGCATGAAAATGGCTCCACGTAGACGAGGCCAAAAGAGATGTCAGCCACTTATGTCAAAATCCTCAGCTGTACTTGTGATTGATTTGTTCTTCAGCTTCACCTGCCTGACTGCCTTTAACATTATGTCAGGTGGCGTCTTCCTTCCTTCAAAAACACATTCCTCCTTGCAATTACAAATTAATTACAAGCTTATTTGTCTGCTACCCTTGTTGCCTTACTAAATTAATAACTGGATCATGTAGTGTGTGTGTTTGTATCTACTAACATACTACATGCCTACAGTTTAAGACCGTATAAACTCTGTCATGAATTCAGTCTTGTGCAGGCACATGTATAATATTCTATTTACAGGATCATTTAATGCTTGTGTCAGAGGTAATTACACAATTTCACATAGTTTTTTGAGCATGTTTTGTGTGTTTATTTGTACTGGGGCAAGTAATCACGTGACAACTTGCCCCAAAACTGACATGTGTGCTAATGTTGGCTAAATCTCAAGGTTAGCTTAACATAGCGCTTCAGCTGAAGTATCAAAAGACACGTTATTGTCTCCTCTCCTTTGCGCAAAGTTATCATTTTGAACATTCATACCTAATGAGGCTGGAATACATAAAATGTTACCAACAAAAAACACTATATTCTAACAGACACGTTTAAAAAACACATAATTCACAAAGTACATTTTGTATTTCAAACAAATAGGAGACTTATTAGCTAATTTTAACAAAACTCCCTTCACTGCCATGCATTATGGGAAATCTTGACAGGAAGTGCTTTTCAATTAAAATTTGCCTGATTACATTAATTTGAATTTACTCAATATTCTCTCTATTTTGGATTAGATAAATATAATGCTTATGTTTTATTTAACTACAATGGGTGGATTTTATTAAATATTTTCCTTAAAAGCAAAAACACAATCATATTGAATATATTTTACCTAATACATTAATTCAAATCCACATGACCACAGAATCTCTTTTTACAGTGTGGTGGAGCTTATCCAAATCAAGCGCAGACAGTGTTTGTTTTTTTGACCTGACTCTCCGTAAACACTTTCCTGATGAGTTTATGGTCTCAGTCGTGATGTGTGCATGATGTTCATTTAGTAAATTATGGTCCCATTTAGAGGAACAAAGACCAGGAAGCAGGGGAGGCTTCAGGGCGGGGCTACAAGGTGAGTGACAAGTCGCTACCAATCAGGATAGATTTGACCAGTGTGTTATCAGTTCATGAACGTTAATTTAACTTATTAATTCCAGTAGGTAATTTTTAGGCCTGTTGTCGTCACGTTCGGGTTTTCTTGGTCGATGCTTCTGTGTCCCTGTCTTGTTTTTTGGAATTGCATGGTATTCTGCTGTTTTCCCCCCTCTCCTTTGAGTTTATACCTTTTTTTGTGCATGTAACAGGTTTGCAAAGTGAAAAAGCCCAAAGGGAGTTCCCATCTCCCACAGAAAACTCTGCTGTGAACTGCCTGAAAACAGCTCGTTTGTAGTCCAGCCTTTACTTCCCTTTCTTGTGACGTCACAATGAAAATACGTGTCATAACGCTCACCGAGCGGCTACTCCGACACGCCCTCAGAAACAGTGAGCTGCAGCACACAGCTCTCCTCTCCCTTCCAAACACTAGCTACCCTCCAGGCAGTCAGTGGACATAAAGTTGTTGCTGTGATGTAGAGACTGAGCTCAGTTAAAACTTTATGGATACAGATTAATAACTCACCGCTCTGAAACTCTCGCTCCAGTCCATGTTGCCAAGCTGGTCGGCAACATGAGCAAAATATGACCTCTTTAACAGTCGATATTTGAATCCAATCACTTTGTGTCTGAGTTTATAAAATTCCTGTAAAGGTTTCTACCTTGTCAGGAGTTTAATTAATTAGCCAGACAATAATGTGATATAATTTTATTCATTTCCACATAATAAGGCTCAAACAATAATCTATAAACTGGAACGTAACTTTAAATGCTTCTCAAATTTGATCGTTAACTCTCTCTGGGTTACAAGACATTTGCCACCTTTATCCGATACATTATAGACCAACAAATGAATCGATTATAGGAGAAAATGTTATTTTAACGGGGTCACAACTCATAACGCTGACTCAGAAAGTGGAAGCTGACGTAGAAAATCCAGATCCATGATGATCAGAAACAGCTCAATCTGATTGTTGCATCAATGAAATCACAAACAATAAAACATTTTAAAGTCTAAACTCAAAAGAAACTTCAGCTACTTCGCAGCGTTACTCTGTCCTACATCTCCCACAATGCATTTCACACCTCCACCCGGGGACTGGGAGTAACAACAGTGTTCGGGTCGGAGGGGAAGCAGGTTGGTTTGTTTGGTGGTGATGATGATGTCACATCCTGTTTGCTGGGACGGCGCTCCCTCCTGTACACACCTCCACAGCAGAGTGTTACTCCTCCACCACGAGCTTCTGGGACTCGTACATCTTCCCGATGGCGACCTGCAGAGACAAAAACGGATTCACTCCATCACACAAAAAGGAGACGCTCCAACGTTCAGCTGCACTGTAAAATATTATAATGTATAATACACAGTGAACATTTATCTACTTGGGTCCAAATCCACAACTATCTACTCAACTAATTAAGACCTTTTGTCTCGGTTGTCTCTGTAACTAACAGCTTTTTGAGCTTCATTTGAACTTAGCAACAATAAATATGCAACGTCCATTTAGACTTTCAAAATAAAACAAGTTAACGTCATGAAATGTCGCAATTTGGTTATGTTTATGCACCAAAACTACTTGGTTAGGTTTAGGAAAAGACCCTGCTTTGTAATGTTACTCACACAACTTAAATAAAAACATTTTTTGGTGACTTTTTATTTCACACTGGAAACAAAACACCAGCTTCCTGGTTGAAAGTCCAGTTCCAGTTTCTGGTCCACCCCAACCACCTCCTTTACTCTGACTTTTCCGTTATTTTTTTCCGACACCCAAGGGCGTCACTTTGTGTTGGGGACACAGGCGCTCAGATTAGGGGTGTGCAGAGATACTTTGCTCACAAGATATCACGATACGCGATATTAGGTTCACAAAAACAAGATAAAAGATCCTTAAACAGTGTTTTAAAGATGTCAATGCCAACATATATGAGGAAATTTAGATCTTTAAACACTTCATTTCCTACATTCTGTTGAACGTTTCTGCACCAATTTATGGTGGAAATGTTTTTATGTAAAAGGAAAAACAAAATTGAATTCATTTTAAAATATATAAATATAGTAGAATTTAAGTCAGTGCAGCTCTCAGGCATTCTGAGCTGCTTTCAGATCTATTTCTCTTGTAGATCAACCTTTCTCATGTAATCTCGTCCCTGCTGAGGCAGCACACATGAAGGCCTGATTCAGACTTCACTCCTCTTTTGTCATGTTCACAGGGAGAGAACGCAAAACTTGGCCAAAAAGTTTTTAAAGTTACTGACATCTTTGGGTCATTTTATCATCAGCAGCTTGTTTTTGGTGTTTTTTTTCCAGCTCAAGTTACTTTTTTTGGACAATGAACATTCGTTTCTTCTATATTTTAACTGCATTTCATGTTTTCTTAATGTGCAAATTAACCTTTCTAAAGGCATTTTCATTTATTGTTGAACTGCAAGCTATCTTTCAGAAAAAAGTGGTGAGGACATGTGTCCCCAGTGTAAAGGCCACCTATGCCTACACCTACCCTTACCGTTTAAAACAACACTACAGGGCTTCTCCCACTGCGTTCCAAAGCGCCGCCGACGGGTCGTGACCAAGCGTCCATATGTGACGTCTTAAGACTGAGAACGGGTTGTTTAGACAGACGAACATTTTAAGTGTCACAGCAAAGTCCTGCACGAGGCTTTTGATTAAAAAACAGAAGCAGCAAAAACTTACACTAAAGAAACAACATCACACAGGTAGTAACCCTGTAGTACCCCTGTAGTACCCAAGTAGTACCCCTGTAGTACCCAAGTAGTAACCCTGTAGTACCCAAGTAGTAACCCTGTAGTAACCCTGTAGTACCCCTGTAGTACCCCTGTAGTACCCCTGTAGTACCCCTGTAGTACCCAAGTAGTACCCCTGTAGTACCCAAGTAGTACCCAAGTAGTAACCCTGTAGTACCCCAGTACTAACCCTGTAGTACCCCAGTAGTACCCCTGTAGTACCCCTGTAGTACCCCTGTCCTAACCCCGTACTACCCCTGTCCTAACCCAGTAGTAACCCTGTAGTACCCCTGTAGTACCCCAGTACTAACCCTGTAGTACCCCTGTAGTACCCCAGTACTAACCCTGTAGTACCCCTGTAGTACCCCAGTACTAACCCTGTAGTACCTCTGTAGTACCCCTGTAGTACCCCTGTAGTACCCCTGTAGTACCCCTGTAGTAACCCTGTAGTACCCCTGTAGTACCCCTGTAGTACCCCTGTAGTACCCCTGTCCTAACCCCGTACTACCCCTGTCCTAACCCAGTAGTAACCCTGTAGTACCCCTGTAGTAACCCTGTAGTACCCCTGTAGTAACCCTGTAGTACCCCTGTAGTACCCCAGTACTAACCCTGTAGTACCCCAGTACTAACCCTGTAGTACCCCAGTACTAACCCTGTAGTACCTCTGTAGTACCCCTGTAGTACAAATATATCAACGCGACACGTCCTTCCAGCGTCTCCACTCATCTGACATTTATTTGATCGTACTATGTGTGTGTTTAGTGGCCAGAGAGCCTCGTCACTGTGTTACGTCAATATTATCCAGCTCTGTTGTCAAATAAAAGAGCCACTTAAGGTCGAGCGTGATGTTGCTGTGGTGTATGTACAAACTGTGTTTGGGTTCACAATTGATTTCTTCTCGTTTCTGTACAAAGACACGACGGACTCATCTACAGGACATGACCAAGCACACAGCAGGTGTTCTGAACGTGGAGCTGCTGTCCGTCCGGTCTGAACACACCGTTTATTTCTCGCCTCAGAATAGATCAGCTGATCGGATCCAGCAGCTGTTTCAGGTCCACATCATAAAAAACATCCTCTGCACACGTTTAGTAACTTGTTAACAACTTAGACTGTTTTGAATCCCTGCAAAACACCAGTCCTTACAGCTAGTTGGGGAAAAATGCTGCGAGTGGCGTGCACGTGAAAACTGATATCTGCTACTTCAGGGAGCAACTGTAACACACACGTTTCATATTTAAGTGTAATCAGGTGATTTAAGGACTACTAGTGTTGAAGTTGCATGTGCGGTTGTGTCACTGCAGCGCCACCAGGGGGCACAATCTACCCACGCTCCATCACCACGTTCATCCACCTCATCAGTTATTCTGCCGTCAACCCCCCCCCTCTCTCTCCACACTGTCTGAGCAGACCCTCTCTCTCGCCCGGTTGGAGCACCCCGGCGTGTGTGACGTCCTGATTGGCTGGAGTGTGGCGTAGGAGGGAGGGGGGTGGCAGCCAATCAGCAGGCAGGAGGCTTGTCTCTCATGTAAATTGTTGCGGCTGTGGCTCCTAACAAAGGGATGGCCTCCCTCTCTACATATCTGTCTGTTCTTGTTACTCTCCATCTTCCTCTCCATCAGTTTGTTTTATATCTCTTTAGATTTGTTTCTCTTTCTGTCTTTATCCGGTGCGCCGTCTCTTCCTGTCTGGCTTTTCATTTGATCTGATTTCAGCCCAGTACAGTCCGGTTTACTTTATCAGTGAGAGAGATACCACATCATTAATAATAAAACAAATGCAAACCATCGACCCTTCAAAACAGGAATATCTTATTACAAAAATTTTTAAAGTAATAAACATACAGAACGCATGCCCCCCTGAAAATAAGTGAATAAAAAGGAACATTTCAGTTTGATTATTCCGTTAAAATATGAATCTAAATAACCTAATTAATACAGAAACAGCAGGGGTGGCCAAGGCCCTGAAATCTGATTGGCCCCCCCGGTGCCCCTCTAACAGAGTCAGAGGGTAGTTGGCTTGTTAGTATCATAGATGGACAAATGAACGTGCCTGCTGGACACAAGCCCGGGGCCCCTGGACCAGAACCTCTGTGTGAACTCACTGCTAACTCTCTGTGAAGCCCTTCGTACTTTGTTTTGATAAGTGCTCTATAAATAAAGTTTATTACACAACATACTTGTTGGAAAGTCAAACACTAAATCACTTAGAGACCCTAAACAACCAACAACTACGACTAAGACCCTAAATGGCCATGAACTACAAAGAGACACAAAGCGACCACAAAGAGACACAAAGAGACTACAAAGAGACACAAAGCGACCACAAAGAGACACAAAGCGACACAAAGAGACACAAAGCGACCACAAAGAGACACAAAGCGACTACAAAGCGACCACAAAGAGACACAAAGCGACCACAAAGAGACACAAAGCGACCACAAAGAGACACAAAGCGACCACAAAGAGACACAAAGCGACCACAAAGAGACACAAAGCGACCACAAAGAGACACAAAGCGACCACAAAGAGACACAAAGCGACTACAAAGCGACCACAAAGAGACACAAAGCGACCACAAAGAGACAAAGAGACACAAAGCGACCACAAAGAGACACAAAGCGACCACAAAGCGACCACAAAGAGACACAAAGCGACCACAAAGAGACACAAAGCGACCACAAAGAGACCACAAAGAGACACAAAGCGACCACAAAGAGACAAAGAGACACAAAGCGACCACAAAGAGACACAAAGAGACACAAAGCGACCACAAAACGACTACAAAGAGACACAAAGAGACACAAAGCGACCACAAAGAGACACAAAGCGACCACAAAGAGGTGCAAAACAACTACAGAGACACAAAACAACTACAGAGACACAAAACAACTACAGAGACACAAAGATACGCAAAGTAAGTAAAAGGAGACACAAAGCGACCACAAAGAGGTGCTAAATTACTACAAAGAGACTGTAAATGACCAACAACTACAAAAGAGACACAAAATGATTACAAAGAGACACGAACACACATAAAGCAACTACAAAGACACACAAGGGACAGAGACTCAGCCTCGGCTCCACGTCATCCATCCCCGCCGGGGCTTTAATCCCAGTGGACGATGTGGTGAACGGACTCATGGTACAGAAGAACAAGGCCTTTTTTGATACTCGTTAGTGTCAAAGTAATTTGGACTGTGCCATAAAGGTATAGAAGGTCTGTAGCCAGCCCTACTGTCATGGGATGCCATCTTTACTGAAAGTTTGGTGGGGGAGATTAATGGACTGGGTCTGCTGTACTAGTTTGAGCTTCTTAATGCTGCAGCATACGATGTTATTTAAAACAGCTTTGTGGCAACAGTTTGTTTTTCTTTCCCCGTACACAACGCAGCTCCATAACCTCCACCCCCTCCAGCAGCTCTGGGATAGCCTCGACTCCACTAGTATCTCTACAGTATGCTCTCTTAAAGGTTCCTGCGCAGTACAGAAATCTTGTTATTTGACAAAGATATAGCAATTAGTTTTTGGTT